TTATCGATAAAAAAATAACGGGATGAGTTATCGTTTTTTAATGACAAACTCGATATGTAATGTATAAAAATCAAGTAAACTATATATAATATATGAAATGTGAATCAAGTGAATTGCCATCCCATATTATTACATAGAATTTTGATCAATTATCAAATCGAAAAATAAGTTACATACTAAAATATTTTACATATTAAATATGTTAAATGTGCATTCCGATTCGACTAACAGAAATTAAAGTTCAACTCTTTTAAGGTTTAACAATTTAAGGCAAATATTTAAAAGCACAGATGTTTCACATTTCCTTTTAATGTGAACTGTTAATTTAAGCAAATAATTCTGATAATATTTACAGCAGAATTTAAAACACTTTCAATGTTTGCTGTCAGCGCGTATTTTCATTTCCACTTTCCATTTCGTTTTTGTTTTCCCCCTTTTCCTATTTTTATTTCTTTTTGATTGCTTCTTGTTTTAGTAAAATGTAGCTTGTTTTTTTTTTTAAGAAAAATTTTCTTTAATTGAAATTGATGAATTGCGCTGGCAGTGGCATTTATTTACTTAATTGAGGAGTCAATTGCATTTTGCAACGGTGTATGCAGTGCACAGCAGTTTTTCTTACACAGGCAACAGCAGGATATGTCGCTCCCGCGCCTATTCCAGCGAGAGTTGCGTCTGGGATGCATCGTTAAATCATTTTTCATCTTTATGTAAAATGGTTTTTTTCTCCGTGTATACAAATATGTGTTTGTGTGTGTGGGTGTGCGTACGTGTATACATTAATTTGTGTTTGTAATTTCCGCCATTGCGAAATGGCTGATGGGGCAGCTGCAATTGCAATACGACAGCTGCAGCTGCAACTGTAGCTGTAATTGCAACTGTTGCATGCGTGTATGTGGGCACACGTGTGCGTGTGTAAGTGTGCGTCCCTGTACGCAGCGCACTAATTAAATTAATTGCTTAATTTTAACTTAATTTGCCACATGTGGCAAGTTGTGTTCACCTCGCTTTGTTTGCCCCATTGCTCACACGTGCATTTGCCTTTGCGTTTGCTCCTCCTGCCAGCCAATTACGGCACGTTCTCTTTGGATAACCATAAAATTTGGTTTGTTGCCATAACAACAACAACAACAACAACGGCAACGTCAACTGTGTCTCTGCGGGTGTGCATGTGTGTGCGGTTGGCTCAGTGTGTGAGTGCGAGAGTGTGTATGTGCTTTAGTTGGGGTTTTTTGCATGGCTAAACTTTAACACCTACTATCACTTGGTCAAGTTTTAAACGCTATCATGCTTGAAAAACAGTTTGAAAACATGCAAAAGAATATGGCATACAAATTTCGCATTACTCTTTGAATAAAACATTTAAAAAAAAAAAACTATGAAAATAACTTTAAGCTGCAAGAATTTAAAATACAAAAAAAAACCTTGGCATGCAATTTTCCATGTTTTTTATAGGTAAGCAATTTTATAATTTAAATTTTAGGCCATTTATGCAGTTTCAAATGAAAAGAATGTCAATATAATATTAAAATATTTAAAAAAAAAAAAAAAAAAAAAAAAAAAAAAAAAAAAAAAAAAATTAAAAAAAAAAAAAAAAAATTTAAAAAAAAAAAAAAAAAAAAAAAAAAAAAAAAAA